AACCCCCCCCCACCCCCACACACACACGGAAATTATGTACTAGCCACATGGCAATAAAGTCTCTAAATTACAACTTTACCTTGATCCTTTTGCCACAGAAACACCTAGTGTAAACTGTTACCCTCTATAACAGAATACCCCCCTGCCCGTTTCTACGTCTTACCTGCTTCCTACTATGGTTTTTCTCTTTACATAAACCGGGGCTCTGGCAGCTCTGTCCTTCCGTCGTCTCGTAAGACAGGTCGCCTGAGTACACATTTAATCTATGGACGAACCCCGCAGTAGTCTGGGCAAAAAGTAGTGCGCACAGTACTTGAGAAATTAACCTGCCGAGATTCTTCTTGAATCTTTCTTTCAGGATAAGCGGGGTAAAAACTATGCTGAATTGTAGAGAAATGTATCGGGTTTGATACTGTATTACCAATAGTTTGAATTAGGATGTTTGTTCGACAGGGGCCAATTCGCGCCTGGATCCGGTTATGACGTATTGTGCGTCCGCTGCAGTTCACATGACCCCCGAAAAGCGCCCCCAAAATTGTTTTGATGGGAAAATTAGCTAACTTTCACATGTTTTGTAGGGTGTAGCCTCAACCCAAACTTATTGAATTTTTGTAACTTGCTTGTGCACCCTAGTATGCATTTTATAGCGTAGAACTTTCTCACTTTGGGCTCCTTAACTATAGAAATAGCAGTACCCAGGTGAAAACTGGGTACTGCTACCTTGTCCTGCCGTCGTCTCGTGAGGTCAGAGGTGAACGCATCGTGGGACGTCAAAGATGACTTTGCCCTCCTGATTTTCCAATTCTAGTGTATTTTACTTCTGTCAACACGACAGTAGGTTTGTGAACGTTTCTTACATGAAATAACAAAAAGACTTATGCATTATTTTTGATTGTAGCATATGAATGATTATCTTTCACATCTATGGGTTTGTTTTTTGTAAGAAGTGAGGTAAAAGAATCTTCCGTCACAACAAGAAGAACACCATGGATATCAGTTATTAATTATAAATCTGATTATATTTAAACATAATTGAAAAAGACAAGTTCGGGACTAACATGCTTCCAAAGACGTAACTAGAGAGGTTAAGCAATTTGAAAGCCAATGTATAATCTTTACCGTCATCTGGTCTTACTTTAAGTCAGATATGAATGAAGCAGGCTGTCCAACTGTTCTGCTACACAATATAACCCACCACAGGGTGTCTGCTACAGCACCATTTACCATGGTCACATGCATCTGATACAGGTCATTGACTTTTATTTGTTTGGACAAAAGGAAGAAAAAAACTAAGCAAAAACGATATGCTACCCAAAGTTCTGCGAAGGTAAATAAAAATGAATGTATAGAGCTACTTTCTGTAAGAAAACCAGAACTTTGCTTTGCAGTAAAGGTAAACAGAAAACTAAACCATAGATCTTTTAAATGGTTATTTTATTTGTCTATTTGAAAGATCTCCAATTTAGTGAGTACAATGATTTACTACACTAGTCTTCCTGGAGTCATCTATAAAACTTATAGCACAACCAACATAACATAAACATTACATTCCTATACTTTAAGACTACATTATAATCGAAAGGAAAAAAAATAAAATAGAAAAAAATCAAGATAATGATCAGAGGTCAGAGTGATCATAAAGTAAATTTATGTGCATTTATATATATAGTTTATTACGGTACCACCAAATTATATTAATTTTTTAGCTGACAACTTGTGTCATTTTTTGTGAAACTCCTATTATGCCAAACATTCTACAGTGACAGACAAAATCACATTTATAACAACAAAAACAATACATCCTAGATGCTTAAACTATCATGAGTGCAACAACTACATCTATACAATATAAGGTGCAAAACCTCTATCTATACAGCATTAGGTGTGATTTTAGACAGGCCTTAGTACAAGCCGCACTTTTGGGCACATTTGCCATAATCCTCGACTGCCTGCCTGAATATGTCTGCCTGTAAAACAGATTTCTTTACTTCGGAGTAGTTATCAGGACCAGTTACACATTAACACTACAATTAACATGGTCACTCCTGGAGAGGTTCTTCCATTTTGACTTTCTCTTTACCAGAAGACAAAACTGTTGTTTGTACATAATCCAAAATGACATACAGTATAACTTGTCAAACTTGTAGACTCAGCTTCTTTCTCATGACTTATCAAATGAAAATACAAGTGGCATTTCGTAGCTGCAGAGTAACTACAGAGATGACAGTTATAAGGGTTTTCCCCTACGTGGGCATTCTTGTGTTGGGATTGGGCATACTTTAGGTCTGTCCCACACTCCCCTCATATGTATACTAGTAGGGTTTCTCACCGGTGTGTCTTGCTAGATGTTTGCTCAAAGCAGATTTCCGTGCTGCCGAATAGTCACACTGGTCACATTTGTAAGGTTTTTCTCCTGTATGGATTCTCATATGTCGGCATAAATCAGCCTTCCTGACTGCTTTGTATGCACACTCCTCACACGTGTAGGGTTTCTTACCGGTGTGTCTTGATAGATGAACGTTCAGACTGAATTTCAGTGCTGTAGAATAGTCACAATGTAGCCTGAGTGTCAGCCTTGTTAGCTTTCGTCCGCTACCCAAGGGAGCGGACCTTGGGTAGCGGACGAAAGCTAACAAGGCTGACACTCAGGCTAGTCACAATGGTCACACTTGTAGGGTTTTTCTCCTGTATGGGTTTTGATATGTCTAAATAGGCCGGACTTTTTAGCTGTCCTGTGGCCACATTCCCCACACATGTAGGGTTTCTCATTCATTCATTCATTCATTCATTCATTCATTCATTCATTCATTTATCTATTTTACCAGCAGAATACACTCAGGTTATAATTACATTAAAAAACCTGTTTTTCAGGTAGTGCTGGGCATACAAGTACAAATACTGACAAACATTATACATTACAAGAAACAGACATAATCCAAAATGACATACAGTATAACAAAGGAACTCATTCATTTTTCACTATACATTCACCGGTGTGTATCATTAAATGTTGGTTCAAGGTGGCTTTTCGTGCTGCGGAATAGTCAAACTGGTCACACTTGTAGGGTTTTTCTCCTGTGTGGGTTCTCATATGTGTGGGTCAGTAATGCTCGTAAATTGTTCTGTATCCACATTCCTCGCACATATAGGGTTTTTCACCCAGATGTTTTGCTCGATGAACGTCCAAGTTGGATTTCCGTGCATCAGAATAGTCACATTGGTCACAATGGTAGGGTTTTTCTCCTGTATGTGTTTTCATATGTTGGGATAAGTCAGACTTTTCAGCTGTCTTGTATCCGCACTCCTCACAGATGTAGGGTTTCACACCAGCGTGTCTTGCTAAATGAATGTCCAAGTGGTCTCTCTGTCTAGACTCTGAGCTGTACAAGAGTCACACAAATCACATTTGTAGGGTTTTTCTCCTGTATGGATTCTCATATGTCGGGAAGAAGTGAGACTTCTTAGCAGTCCTGTATCCACACTCCCCACACATGTAGCGTTTATCGCCAGCCTTATTCAAGTTGACTTCTTGTGCTACCACCTGGTCTTTAACACTAATTGTTTTCCTGTCACAGTCCACCTGGGAAACCCCGGAGGGAGACCCATCACAGCAAGTCTGGCCAACTCCGGTGGGAGACCCGTGCCCGGTGTTTGCCATATTCATCCTTATGATTTTTTTTAAATCTTACAGATTAAGCATTAAAAGCTGTCAATGATAAAATCAAATTCATAAAAAACAAGGTTGAAAGAGTTCTAACTTCACCAAGCTTTACCATTTTAACCTAATGCTCAAGCAATATAACCCACCATAATTCTAATGTGTTGTCTTTCAATCTGGTGAGGAGAGGTAATGTTTCTCGCATTTGAATGATGTGCTTCTATATTGCTACAATCATAATCACTCGCACTACCAAGCTTGCTGAAAA